AGAAATATAAAGAGTCTCAAGAGACAAAACTTCTAGACTTCATTTGCAACAACAGAATTGAACAAGAGAAAAAACGAGGTACACTTTTTTCTTCTACAACTTAAATGACAATAACAAAAAATATTAAAACTCGGTGTTGCCAAAATTGCAGTGAAATAAACATTCTCACTCAGTATTAGCAGAATAAATTGGTGCATTTTGAAATGTACGATGACAGCATATATAGAAAATCTGTTACAATTCCAAAACTCTTCTAGGAATTTCCCCCTATAGAATATATATCTAAAGAAATTTCCCCCTGTAGACTGTATCTAAAGAAATGGAAACTGATTAACATATGTACACCTATATGCCCACTGTAACATATTATAGAAAAATTGGAAACAACTCCCACACTCAACATTGAAGAATTAAATTTTGTTATATACAAAAAAATGATTAGTATGCAGTCATTTAAGATGTCTTCATGACATGGGAAAATGTTTACCATGTAATGCTAAACTTAAAAAAATATACAATTCTATATACTGTATGACTGCAGTTATGTTAAATATGTGTACATAAAATTTAAAAATAAACTATATGTTATTCCCAGGGTCAGGATTCTAGATCACTTTTACTTTTTTATTTGGTCAACTTTCCTACAATTCCCTATAGTGAGCTGGTTTTTATACTTGCAATCAGAAAGAAAAAAAGAAGAAGCAGCTCATAAGAATTGTCTATGTTCTATTACTACTAACATTATGAGGATTTAATTAATGAGTTCATATGACCCTTCCAGATGACAAGTCTACATTGGTCTTTACTTATTTTTATCCTACTTAAGAAAATAAAGAGAGGATGTCAATCCCATTCCAGAACTAGGGGGAACAAGATTTCAGAGCTAAGCAGTTCCAATCAGTTACACAGTGTGAGCCTCAAAAACAATGACCAACACATCTTGCTGTCCTTTTTTGTGTCTCAGTCTTTGGAAAAACACATGCCACAAGGGAGTGGCTGACTGGGATGAACCAGTCAGACAGAGACACAGTAGACATCTAAATTCTCATGCTATGTAAAATACTCAACTATTTAAAATATTCCCAATAGTTGTCAACTGGCAGAAACATTTTAACATCACACACACACTCATTAAATATCCTTGTATAAAAGTAATCATGCCTCAGAAGGACACAGAGAGGGAGAGAGACGAAGCGGAGAGAAGGAATAAGGAGGAAGAGAAGAAAGGCGGCAGAAGAAAAGAAAGAAGGATGAGAAAAAAAAGAGAAAGAAGGATGAGGAGGAAGGGGAAGGAGAGATGGAAGGAGAAGATTTAGATGCTTGAGCAGGAGAGGCGGAGAAAATGAAGGAGTAAGAGAAAATAAAAAGTGGACATTTTCTGAAGTGAACATATTTAGATGATCCTTTTCATATTTCCTGTTTTTAAACATCTGTAAATGGTGTTAATTTCCCTTACCATAGCTGGAAAAAGGAAAGCACATTGGAAATGAAATTTAAGGAAGGGCCATCCATATAAAAAATACATTTTGGTTTTCATCAAGTCTATTTTTTTAACAATGAAATTTCAATATTTCCACTTGTTTTTGATATTATATCATAAGAGGGAGGAAGAGGTATATTAAAGAGACAAGGACTCCCAACATAGCTGGCTACAATTACACGGTTGATGCGAGAACATCTTTTTCCTTCTCTGAGTCTTAGTCTCATCTCCAATAACTTATAAAGAATGGACTAGAGAAGGCTAAGTTTCTTGGTTCTCTCTGAAGCTACAAATCTAAGGGCTAGACAGGGGAATGGGCACAAAGGACAGAGAGAGACAGCTCAATTTCAAACACACAGCCTCCCAGGAACTCAATAAATATGTATTGCCTAAACAATTAACGACAATACTGCTGAAGTCTGGCATGCAAGAAAACTTACTGTCTGGCATGCAAGAAAACTTAAAACTTCTAAACATTAAAAGCTATCAAGACATTTGAGTTTTCCTGGGTAACGTAGACCAAAACTCAACTGAAACAAATTTTGGAGATACAAATCTAGACCAAGTAAATTCACGGCTGTTCTGGGAAAAGAGAAGGAATGATGTTTGGGATAACACAACAACGAGACGATGAATGGCTGCCCCTGGAAAGAATGCAAAGCTCCCTGCTCCCATGCTGCAAAGCAAGTTGCTAAAGTGAAAAAATATCAAGTGATGATTCAGATCAGAAAAGAAAAACGTCGAGCAACTTAAAGTCCAGAAATGTTGAAATCAAAGTTAATGCAAAATGTACTTCATTATGGAAAACACATGTAGTTGATGCTAGGGGCTGATTTCATGTGCCTCAGATTACTGTTAATATTACTTAAAAGTAGAGGGAGAAACTGAGTGATAATCTGTAATTCCAATATCATATTTATAAGACTAATTCAAGATACTGAGTTATCTTGAGACATCCTACACAGGCATACTGGCCATCATTAGTAACTGGAGGGAATCAGAAGACCCATCATTGCAGGAACAGATAACACATCAGTGGAAGTCACCAATGTACCCTAAAAATAAGACTGAGATATAACAGTGATATATCTATTCCAGGATAAATCTGCTCTGGGAGTTGGTGATGGACAGGGAAACCTGAGTGCCGCAGTCCACCGGGTCGCAAAGAGTTGGACATGACTGAGCGACTAAACTGGTAACAGTGATAACTTGGGAAAATACTTATGACACTTTAAGGGTAAGAGCAGGAAACAAAATAGTATATATGGTACAAGTACATATTAAAAAATCTGTACATACAAAACACTGCAGGATGGAGATAAAACGCTGAACTATTTAGATGAGGTCACCAGTGAAATTTTTCTTTCTATATTTTCATGCTCTTCTGATTTCTTTTAATGCCATTTTATAATGAAAACAAATTGAGAAGTACATTTATCATCTTCCACAAAGAGGGGATATTCTTACCTCACCCAATACCACCTTAATGGTAGTTAGTATCTAAACAGAGAAAATATATGTTTTTCATTATTTTATCTAAAATTTCCTAGATGCTCAAAGATTTGGGATCAGCCTAGAAATCTTGAAAATGTTCAACTGTTTCCGAATTTTTGAATGAGCCAGAATCTTTGATGTTCTTAGTTAATTTGAAAGACGGATGAACTCATCAAAGACTACCTATATTAGTATAAGGTAAAGGTAATAGACTCATGTGCACCTCCTAGTACTTTACTAATCTAGAGACCAGGTTAACCACACCAAGCTCTGAGGTACTTTAGATGATTAAAGCCTACATTTTAACTTCAAGATTTAAGTATACATCTCCTTTTACCCCTGCCTTTTATGCATCTTTAATATCCAAACCACTGGATTAGAGATCTGATAGGGTTCCTCACTCTCCACCATCCCCCAGGAGATGTTGGGTCACCCTAGTTTATCTTCAGCAAGAATCTTGTTAGAGCAGTTTGCCCAGAATCCCCCCTTACTCCTGATGTTTTCTTTCCAGAAACTTTTCAGCTACTGACCCCTTGCCACTCCCTAACACTTTGGCTATAAATTCTCACTTGCCCATGTGGTATATAGAGGTGAGCTCAACATCTTCTCCCTCCTGTAAAATCTCACTGCGGTATTCCCTACACCTACCGCGATGGTCCTGAACAAAGTCCACCTTACCATCTTCCACAAGTGAAATTAAAGAACTGTTTCCTTTAATACTATCAACCTTCACCCCACAGGCTTCCCTGTTTCTCTCAAGGGCAGCCCCATCCTTTCAGCAGTTGCTTAAACTGAGAGTCCTCAGTCTTCTGACTTCTTTCTTAATTACTACAAGCAATCCATCAGTTGATACTACCCCATCACTTAAGACAAAAATCTTGGGAGTCATCCACTATGTAACTGTTTTCAAACTTCACATCTATTTTACCAGACTTCCTTGGATTCTTCCTAGATAAGTTCAAAATTTAAATATCAAACTACATGTGTTAAGATTTCACAAATTCCCACCGCTTCCACTGCCGTTCTCATCCTGGCCACCAGATCTCACTGAGATTATGACAGTGGATTCCTAACGCATCTCCCTGCTGCTCACCGCACCCACCCACCATTTACTTTCAAAACAACTTCCAGAGTGATCCATTTAAAATGTGACTCAAATCCTGTCTCATCTCAAAGTCCATTCATGGCTCTCTGCTTCACTAAGAGACTAATAAGAGTCCAATGAGCCTTAATGCCCTACTAGATCTGGCCATGGTATTTCTGGCCTTGTCCGCTACTACCCTTTCCCTTGGAAGACTTCACTTTTGCCACAGTGGCCAACTTACTCTTTTTTAGTACATGTCTTCTTGGCTCAAATGCCTGCGCTTCAATTAGACTTATCCTGGCTATTTACAATTGCAACTCCTTCCCTCTGGCAATTTGACCTCCCTTACCACCTATATTTTCTTCACCACACTTATCACCTCATATTTACTTATCAGGTTGCCCTACCTGTCCACACCCGCTCGAGCCACAAGCAGAGGCCTTGTCGCTGTCACTCACTGCTCTATTCCCCACTGGCTTGAGCAAAACTGCCCAATAGAAATACAATGCCTGTCACGTATGTAATTGTAACCACACGGGAAAAGCAAAAAGAAACCTTGAAATTAATTTTAATATTTTACTTAATTCAATATATACTAACTATGCTCATTTTAATGTGTAACCAATAAAGGAGAATTATTCAAATAGTTCACATTCTTTTTTCCATACAAATTCTTCGAAAGGCTTTGTGGATTTCAAGTTTATAGCACGTAAGTTTGGGCTAACCACATTTCAAGGGCTCAATAGCTACATGTGGCCAGTGGTTTCAATATTGGACAGTGTAGATCTAGTCTATTGCATTTTTCTCTACTCTTTGTATACTTATCCTATTTATCATTCAAATTCTTGGGCACAGTCCAGTGAATTGATTACCTAACTCACAAATGGGTCCCAATATGCTCTTTGAAAATCACTGCTCTAAATAAACTTTAAAGAATGTCACCTGTAATGAATGGTTTAGGACACTTCCTTTGGTCTCCAGAGGCTGCTCACAATCCTTTGAAAGAGATACTGACTTCCAGAAAAAAAGAGGCCTGGAGGAAAAAGTGAGGAAGTAAAGATCCATGCCAATCTATAAACTGAAATCATCACAGTCTGTCCAATGATGCAAGATTTTAATTAAAAAAATATTTTTAAATAACTCACTCCACTGTCAGATAATTAACAAAACATCTAATTACCTTTAATTATACACCATATACCTGCTAATATACAGGATTCAAGGGAAAATCTACATGATCTTCACACTTCAAAAAGAGTGTACCTAAACAGAGCATGAAGACTTCAAGCTTTTCATTTTTCTTTCCCCTCACTCTCAATGCATGCGAAGGCCATGGAAGTACCAGCTCAGATCAAGGACAGAGCAGTGCAAACTTAAATGAGTAATTTCACTTGCCACTTATGAAAAGTCCTACTCACCAACAGACTTTTTAAAAGATACCATCGAATTTCAAATCCATACTCAGCCTTGGGCAGAAGGTGTCAACTTTTAAAAGAGACTCAAGAATTCTACCACTGGTATACCATTCACTCTTTTAAGGTCCTGGATGATACTAGATACTAGGAAGTGTGCAGTCAAGGTTATCATACATGTGCTACCCTAAACAGAGTTTTGGGTACATTTTTGTACATTTTTTGATGTACAGTTTTTGTACATTTTTGAGCTTCAGATTTTCTCTGAGATTTTTGAATTGCCAAAGAAAGGTAATACCTCCTACAACTGTTAAGTTGTTACATTTTCAACTAAGCTGATAACTTCTTCTGAAGATGCTCCAGGTGGATAGTTTGAATATTTGTGCCCTTGGCAGATGAAAGAGCCAAAACATCATTTTAAAAAGATGACTAGAACCATTTGTTATTTTTTTTTTTTACTGTGCAAAATATGGCTACTTGATAACTGTTGCAAATATTGTCTTTACTACAAAACATGCCTTCATGTACGTTTCAACAAGTGACTTCTGCTTGAAAACGAACTCTATTGAGCATATTTCTCTGGAAATCAATATTTAAAATTTTTTTCTTTGAAACGAACATTCAAGAGAGACAGCTCTTGTTTACAGAGTTACTTAGTTTAGCATTATGGTTAACAATGTTTAAAAACAGCTAACTTAAAATGCAAACATTTAAATTCTGAAGTTTAACTGTTGGGAGGCCAAGTCTATTTCTATGGAAATACAAACAACATGAAAAGGGTAATTTTCTCCCAATTCCATCCCTGGAGAGAGTATTTCAGGGCACCATTGTGTTGGACTTAGGAGTAAGAATTCATATAACTCTGAGATGGTAAGAAAGTTAAAAATTTTAATGCTTTGGATGAACTTTGAAAACATTATGCTATGGGAAAGGAGTCAGTCACAAAAGACCACATATTGTATGATTCCGTTTACATAAAACGTCCACAAGAGGCAAAACTCTATGATGGTATTTGTATTTGTTGTTGCCAAGGGTTGGGTTGAGGGGAGTAACTGCTAATGGGTATGGGGGTCTCTTTCCAGGGTGATGAAATTGTTCCAAAACTAGATTGTGATGATGGGTGCAAACTCTGAACATACTAAAGCCATTGGACAGTTCATTTCAAATGTGTATGAATGCAGTCAAGGTTATCAAACATGTGCTACCCTAAACAGAGTTTTGTTTTTGTACATTTTTGAGCTCCAGATTTTCTCTGAGATTTTTGAATTGCCAAAGAAAGGTAAGACTTCCTGTATCTGTTAAGTTGTTACATTTTCAACTAAACTGATAACTTCTTCTGAAGATGCTCAAGGTGGATAGTTTGGATATCCCAATAAAGCTATTAACAAAAAATTAACAGGCTTGATAACATTCACCACAATACTGGCATGAAACACACAAGAAAATCAAATTAGTCAAGGATAGCTTTCAGATCATGGTAAAATACATAAAGCTCTGACACCCTGATCTCCCTGTTAGAGAATACTTTCTCATAACCACCACTACCTGCCCTTTTGAACACCTGTCATCATCCTCATGCATAATGTCTGTCCTCCCCTTTGCTACATAGACTCTAGGGGGACAGAGATGGTATCCTTCTCATGTAGTGCTGTGATCCTAGCATCTGGCACACAGTCATCAATAAACACCTGCAGCAATAACTGACGAATAGCATATGTAGTATATACATCTATATTGTGTATGAATGAATGAATGAAGGAATGCAATATTGGGTTGGGGCAATTCAGCCAGTCAAGTCGCTGGAGAGCTAAATGTCCCCTTACATCTGTTCTCCAATACTCCCAAGCTCCTGGCTCCCCAGCTAGAGGCATTCCCCAACAGCCACTGCAGCTTCTTGTGAAACGATCACAGTCTAACCAATTAAATGTCAGTGGATGTGACGTGTGCAATTTTTAAGTCATTTGCTTCAAAAAAAATTGCTTGCCATGGACTTCACTGTATTTCAACCATATAGATAAGGACAAAGGCCCAAAGGAGGGAAGAATGAAAGAGAAAGAACCCATCCAGTCAAGCTGGACTGGCCAGATTATTAGATGAGACAGGGAAGTAAACTTCTATTTGATTTAAGCCATTGTATGCAAGAGTCTTTATATCAGCCTAGTCTTTACCCTGAGTGTTACATCCCGGGCATGGGTAGGCTGAGAGCGAAGGGGAGGTAATGTGGAGTTCACTGCCTAACTAAACTGACTGACTAGTCATTTCAGCCAGAGTGGTCAGCTGGTAGCTCAATGAAAACACTTTTCCAGTGTCTTTTATAACAACTTCCTGAACAGGCAAATAAGTCAAATGCTGAGTGTTATAAAGAGGTCATTTTGAAAGGATTTAAACTCAGAATATTGTTGTCATTAAGTAAACTTTAAAATCACGTTAAATATATACTTTCAGAAGAACCAATGAATATATTTAAAATGGCTGGGTAGCTATTTTCAACTTTATTTGTAACCAAGAAATAATCTGTAACATGTAAGACACAATGAGTAAAGTATATAAAGACACCTTATAACTCTTTGATCTAACAAAAAATAGCTCAAACTGGGGGTAGAAGAAAAATTGAAATGATTACACTTTCTTTTATATTTTCTTTCTTTTTTAAAAAACTTTTTCATCAACAAGTTGACTGTAAAACTGAACCAACACAAAATACGAAGCTTTAAGATGACCAATGTTTAAATATAACCATTTAACTTGTCACCTATACAGGCTTTGTAATTATCATCAATTACTCCCAGTGCTAATCAGAACTGAATCAAAAACAATGAATTTCACAAATTAGATTTTAAGTTTTAGCAAAAATCTATATGGGTGAATTGCGAATGTTTGGGGGAAGCAGGGAAAAAATGACATACATACCTATATTAAACCACCAAACCAAGGCAGCCATGACAGAATGACAACAATATAATTGTGACCAGAGCAAGTTGTCTTTTTAGCCCCAGTCTTGACATTTTACATGACCTTGGATAAGTTACTAATTCAATGTGATCAGTTTCCCAGTTTGTAAAGTGGCGATTATAATAATTACCAGCTACCTTTAAGGAATGCCAGCAACTAGATCCATTTTGTAAAGTGCTCAAATCGACTTGGAAGAAACTGTTAATCACTACCAAGCAGGATGACAGTTATTCATGATCCTTCAGACTCTGAACCTCACTGTGAAAAAAGGTTTCATTTGGTTTTCAGAATTTGCCTGGCCGCTTTCCTGCATATAACCAGTTGTTTCCAGAGTATCAATGTAGGGACATTTACTTGTATTTATACTGACTGTTAATGATTCCCAGATGCCACATTTGAGCATGGCAGTGACTGAGGAACTCCGGGCATCTGAAATCTGCATCCTCTGTGTGATGCAGAAGACGGTGCTGGTTTCGTGATCATCACATCACTAAAAAGCATGGTCTCTCTGTTTAAGGTTTATTCACTGGGAAGAAATACTAAGCATTCTGTCCAATTTTATACATATTTTTAAAGAGTTTCTATTTTTAACAAATCTTTTTTTCCCCCCTTTATATATAAGGATTAATTTTCGAAGGACCCTTAAGCTTGATAAAAAGTAAGAAAAGTACACTCAGCCTATTTGTCTATATAACTTATTTCTAAGAAAACATAATGGAAAATGGAGTCAGACACAAACCGAACTTAAATTGTTGAAGAAAAACAGTTAAATAATAAAATATTAATTGGGAGCAGGAATTTGAAGTTGACTTTAAAAAAAGTATCAACAACAAAAAGTTGAAGTTGTTAGGAAAAAAACTACTAACATTAAGCAAAAACTCTTACTCTGAGATTCCAAGCTGTCAAGACAAAAAGAATAATTAGATGACTGTGTTGTTCAGTTTCCTTTGCTTTATGAAAGAAGACAAGAGAAGGACAAAATTTTTCTATGGTCCTGAAATTTGACAAGGGGTTCCTGACTTGCAGGATAGCATATACCGTAATACACCATGTTCTTGATGGTACTTACAAAGAAGCATTTTTTTCTCCCTATGGACTACCTCTCTTAGTCAACAGTAATGACACATTCCTGGAAACTTTGTTTTCCCCCAAACATGCCCTTGACTCACAATATCTTTAACAATATCATGAAATTGGGAAAAATTATTCTATCCAAACTCAAACATTTTCAGGTTATGGGTATAACTATATTCATCATAAAGACATAAGCCAGGAGAAAAATAATTTATGCTTACAGATACATTGTAAATGTATCTGAATACATAAATCCGAATAAAACAATGAAAACCTACTATTAAGTCCATTTTTGGAGCTGTAGGAATAACTCAACTCTCAAGCTAAATATTTTCCATTTTCAACCACTTTTTCAGCTTTAATCTTTAGTTTCACGAGACACTTTTGCTACCAGCATGAAATGAGTTCGGCACCTGGCATGGATTTGAAGGAGCAACGCTCTGGACTGAGATCTTGTAGGGATCACAGAGACAGGACACAATGTACATACAAATCAGCCGCTGAGGCACAGATAAAACAGCCCACAAAACAGGAAGTAGTGGCTAGATGACCCTTTGCAGAAAAAAGCTGCAGATCCCTGAAACAGATGAAGACTGGGAAACTGGGAAGTGCTTTGCCGAAAAGCACTCTAGGTATGACTTGATAACCTTAATTACTGGTTGGAATCACCCCTTCCCACGCCGGGACATCTGAAAGGTACTATATCCTCGTTGGAGGACAATTAGGTGTCTCCCACACGGTTTAAATTAAACAACAAAGATGGTGAAATGAGGCAAGCTGGTTGGACTTTTTAGTCCAAATGAAATGTGCCAGAATGCAACTAGAAAAATAAATTTCTACTTTGATAATACCTTCTAGAACCCCCAAGCCCTGAGTAAGATTAAAAACAAAACCGATCTAAGAATCTTCACATTATGAAAGTTTCACAAAAAACCTTGCTCAACTGAAGAGTAAAGAAGTCTGTATCCTACAAATTCATAAACTTTAAGTTGGTTAAGATCTAAACAAAGGCTTTGTGGAACCAGGCTGGCAAGTAACCTGTTTTAAAATTGACACAAATCTACTCAGTGAAATGGAAGTACCATTGGACAAGATTCAAAAATAAAATGAAGATGTTTGCTCCTTAAGAAACATCAGACTTGAAAATGACCTGCAAGATGAACGTGAGTGAGGTGACCCGCTTCCTTCAATGGGGAGATACTTTGGGTATCAAAAAAAAAAGAAAACCAAATATGTAGCCTCCATAACCATTTTAACCAAAGTGCTTTTTTTTTCCACCCCTGCTCCCAAAAATTGAGTTTGAGAAAATTTAATTTAGCTTTAATTCATCAACCTACATTAGTCTCTCTGAAAACTTCTAATTTTAAAATCAAGTACTCATTTGATTTTCAAGTAAGGTCAAGAGAACAAGACAGCTGAGGACTGACATCACAGGGACATGCCCCACGCCTCACAGCAGTTACATCAACACGACGCGTTGCTATGGTGCCTGACTATTAATTTCTGAAAGAAGGTGATTATAAAGCCGCCAGATGAACATCCATCGGATGACACCACTTCAGCACAAAACACTGATATGCGTTACTCCTATTTGCAGCCTGTTAATTTTATGAATCACCACTTTTGTGATGTGAATATTCCTTTCTAACTTCAAAACTACTAAGTCAACTACCAAAAAAAAAAAAAAAAAAGAGTTTAACTCCCACAAACAGGGGAAAAGTTTGACAATATTTAGAGGGGAAAATGTGACTATGTGAACCATTTCTTAAGAGCAATCTTTTCTTTAAAGGCCTCCAAAAATATGCTACATATGTACTTACACAAATAAATACATGCAAATTTGATAATTAGGAGATCTGAAAAGAACTGAATTAAGATGCCGAGAAGGCAGTAGATAGAGTCCTTAACTTAATTCCACTAATTATATTTGCATTTACCTTTTTTGGCTTCTGCAAAGCAATCTTCTGTTACAGTCACCTCAAAAGGTCACTTCTTACCCTGAAAACAAAAGAGAATATAAAAAATCTGAATGTTAAGACAAGCAGCAACCACCTATTTGCCTGGGAGAGACGCAAGATAAACAATGAAAGAACTCAATTCTATTTAATGGCGAAAGACACTCGGAGTTAATAAAAACCAGTGCCAAGCCCTCCGCTTACGGGACCATGTGCCTTTGAGCTCTTCAAGACAATAACAACAACTTGGATGTTGGGAAAGTCAAGGTGAAACATTTCACATTTTGCTTATGAACTTTTTCTCATCCTGTTGTCTATTCATTTATTTCATGTGGAATAACCTGTGAGTCACAGGACTTTGGGAAACCAGTCTGCTACTTGAACCTGTCTCTGTTTGGTTAACATTCACAACATCTCTAATTTCATTAAAACAGACCCTCCCCCCCGCCACCCACCCACCCTTGCAAGTGAGTTAGCTCTTACAGACAAGATGCTTTATGCCACTCTGGACTTTTCAAAATGAATAAAAGCACCACAATTTTCAGCTTGGGGAGGGGTTTGGGGGGTCATCAGTGGGTGAAAGCTGTTCTCACAATGTTTTCCACTTAGAATATATCTACCAGATCTACTTAGCTCAATAAAAACGGTTCATGTCAGATGAAATAAACAATTCAAATCAAGTTT